AATTGTTCAGCCCTGCAAAGAATACGTTGCTTATTAAGGTTTAGATGAGACACTTCAGGGGTTCAAGAAGAGTGCACTGAAGAGGGAACCAATAGACTCAAATTTCTTTTGTTACTAAGTGTCAAAAGGCACTTAAATTTCTTTTGTTGTTCTTATTAAACTTACTATATTTTCTTATGTGAGCTATGTCTTATTATATTTTGGTCAACTGAGTAGTCTTTTTTCTTGTGTTGCAAGAGAAGCAGTATTTCTAAATTCCTATTCAAAAGCTCTGAGTTCACTTTTTTTTTTTTTTTTTGGTCAGAGTATGCAACTTTTACATTTTCCTTATTACCTTTTTTAGTAGTTTTATTTATTTTAAAAATATTTCTTTATTTTATTTTAGAATGTTGTGAGAGTACAAACGTTTGGTTACATGCATTATTTTTGTACAGTTTGTGTCAAGGTTATGATTATATCTTTGAAAGAGCAAAGGACATTAAGTGATTGGTGTTCTAGAAAGAATTTTTTATATAGCCATTGATAATTTACTGGTAGAATTTATTGGTATATCTGAGATGGTTGCAGCTGGGAGTTAACGTTAAGGCAAAAATTACCAGATGTTTATAGATTCTCAGAAGAGCTGGGGAATCTAATATAATATCTTCAGGATTGAAAGTAAGGAAAGTGGTACCATCCAAATGGTTTTCCTGTTCCAGCTTCCTGTCCACATTCTAAGCTGTGAGCATTTTTATTTTGTTCTCTGGCCTACCATTAGAGAGTAAGGAAAACAGAGGGGGGGAAACAACAACAACAACAAAACAAACAAACAAACAAACAAAGGGTCCAGAGGAGGCCAGATAAATATTTTGACAATTCTGTTTGAGTTAATAATCATTCATTGATCATCTTGTTATATTTAAATGACATTTGTTAAAGGTGAGGAAAACTTTATTCAAGGTGAAGGGTATATTGTGGTAGGTATAGGGACTCCTTTGATGGAATTTTGCAGTAGAGGAGAAAGTTTGAGTTCAACTCCAAATACAGCATGGCCAAGTGGGAATTTACAACCAAGGAGCCGAGTGGGGGTCAGTGGATAGAAAATTCCTGTGGAAAAAAATTCATGGGTAAGGGAGGATTCTGGCTAACCTGACATAACAGGATTCTTGCTGAAGGCTGGCCATATGATCAGACATCACCTGGGGGATGGTAGAGGATGAGGAATCGGATTAGATGTGGTGGGGGACCAAATATATCACTATTGAGCCTCTAGAAGTTGTTTCACAAGCCTGACTAAAAATTTGGTTAAACACAGAATCTTTGTCTCATATATATATATATCAATTATCTATCAACACAATAATTCTGTGTTAACAAAGGTCAGTGGCTTATAAACAATTATCTTTGGGTAGTGCTTCTGGTTAACTAATTGTTCTGTCCCTGCTAAGATTTCTCAATAGGATTTGAGGACTTGGTAACTATAGAGGGTAAATTTCAGGAAGAAATCACGTTTAATTTTGAGTACTTGAACATGATCAACTAAGCAGGTAGATGTTAATAACAAATTTAGCGTGTGTGGTGGCATAAATTAGGGAATTTACTGTGGTTAACTTTGATCTTTTCCTTTTATTTGGCAAAAATCAGAAGTTTTTAAAAATACACAATTTTACAATGCCAGTAACCCAAATAATAATAAACTATATTTTCATGTGCAACTGAAAATTATGAAGGTCTGTCAAAGCAGAGGGTCAGCTAACATCTGCTTCTCCCATCACACCTTGATGCTTTTTTTTTTTTTTAATTTGGTAGGATTCTCTGTTTTTACTTCATTTTTTTAAATGTCATCAGTTGGTGAGAACATCCAACAGCCACATTATTTTAGACCTAAAACCATTTAGGCCAACTCTCTTTAATAAAGGAAGGCAATCCTGCAAGCACCCTGAGTAATATAGTGAGATCCCCATTTCTGCAAAAAAATTCAAATATGTGCCAACTGTGCTGGAGCACCCTTACAGTCCCAGCTGCTCAGGAGACTGTGGCAGGAGGATGACTTGAGCTGAGGAATTTGAGGTTGCAGTGAGCCATGATGACACCACTGCACTTGAGCCTGGGGGACAGAGTGTGACCCTGTCTCCAAATTAATGATGGAAGGAAGGAAGATAATGAAGCTTCTGTAGAGTTATTCTAAATCATGTGACAAAGTAGATGGGAGCACAATAATAAAACCCTGAACCCTTGGCTCTCCTGCTAGTGTTTCCCCCAGTGGTTTGGTTCTAGTGTTGGATTTTCAAGGAGAACAATGGAGAACTTGACTAAAGTGGGACGGTGTTAGGGATAGTGACAGTACTTGGATAGTGCATTGTGTAAGGCACTTCCAGGTACTTTATCTTATGATGGAAATGAATAGCTGAGAGACTCTAATATAGTCGTTAACTGTTACTTCTAGTTTTTAGTCTCTTCCTCTAGCAAAAAAGAAATTATAAGGTTCCTCCTCAGGGAATTGTTGTGAGTGGTAGCTATGACTGGCACATTCGTGTCTGGCACATCTTAATTGTTTGTTATTTATATTATTGTTGCTAGTAATCGCTTTATTCTTTGTTGTTCTGATTTTGACTTCACAGACTATATGTCATAGATGGATGGAGAAAATTCTACTGTCCAATATTGCTGTGGGTCAAGGAAGAGGAGAGGGTTCAGCCCTCAGAGTCCTCCCTGTCTGAGGTTAGGAATCTCAGCATCTTGACCCAGTGTTTACCAAAAGGAATGCCTTTTGCCTGATTTTTTCACTTACTTTTGATTAACAACTAAAAAACAGAAATCTTGAAAAGACATCATTGTTTTCCAACCACTGTTTCAGTGCCACTCGAGACTTTCCATGCCTTGGCATGCTACATTGTAAGACTAAATTATTTGGTGCCCTCAGCTTAACTCCTTGGGGAAATGGAATTTCTCCAAGAATTTCTCAACTAGGAGATCCTTTATAAATATAACTCATTGAAATAATCATCATAGCATGCGTGCTTTCAGTTACACAGATAATGGGCAATTTCCCTTAGTTTAACATTTAAAAAGAAAAAAAAAACTCTTAAAGTCTGTGCTTTGTTGCTCTATAGAGAGGAAAACCACTTCTACTTTTTCCATTATGTTAACATAAACAAACAGCTGTGGAACATAAGAAATGAAGTTTCCAAAAATAGCCCACCCCGGGGGTTGCTTTTTTTTTCATTAAGATGTATTGCAACTCGAACCCTCCAGCACCTTTTCATATCTGCTCTGTCATTCTCTGGGTCTTCCTGCTAGGATTTATCTTGCATCCTGTAAAGGAATAGAAATATCCAAGGTTGGTCTTGGTTGGGTTGGCCCAAAAATGACAGTCATAGTAGAGGCGGAGCTGAGAGTAAGAAGGATGCTTAGGCAATGCTTTACCTTTTTGAGAGCACAGACCCTGTTAACACTGATAATAAAAGCCAAAGACTTTGCCTCAGAAAATTAATACAGATATAAACAGGCACGCAATTTCAGAAAGTACTGGTAGACTCCTTTCAGCCCATTTTGGGGTAATAGCTGTGCATCTGTGTTGTGAGAGCTGGCAGCACTCTGGCCTTCCCCCTTCCCAGCTCTCTTTTGGCAACTAAAGGGATTTAAACGCATGCTGAGGATGGATGGAATCCAGAGCTTGCCAAAAGCTCGCTCTCCTTTGTGTTGTTCAGGGTCCTCATTTTCTCCTTCATTAAATACTCAAATGGCCCGAGCTGAGTATGTGTCACTTCCATAGCTCTTTATGAACCAGGAAGAGGAGAATGGAAGTGAGAAGGAAGGGTGAGGCTCTCGCCTCCTTATATCACCATTTGGTATAAAACACACTTAGTTTGTAAGCAGTCTTCAAAGAGGAATTTTCACTGTGAGGTACTAACCTGTCCAGTTCTTATGAAAGGATTTCTCTTTTTATAGAACTTTGTGCTTGTGGAAAGAGATCTCGTGCAAATTTTAATGCACATTTCAAGAGATGTTGGGGGCAAAACCCTTTGATGAAAAATTGGATTAAAAAGAGTAATAGAAAAAAAATGGAAAGCAGCAGTGGAAATATGGAGGAGGTGGGAGACGCTTGCTGGCTTATGTGATTTGATCCGACATTCTCTCTCCACTCTACTTTCAATGTAGAATTTTGCAGATAGGTGAAAGTGGCTTATGACACACTTTATGTTTTCTGTTGGAACTTGTTAATAGCTCCTTTTGCTTCTCTTCCACCCTGTTCATTAAAGCTGTCCAGCCACACGTCTCAGGTGGAGATATCTGGAGTTCCCACTTGGTGCAAGGGAGTGAGCTGTGGCAGATGCAGGGTCCACACAAGTTCTTGACTCTCTAGAAACTGATGTTCTCATCAGCTTCCAAAGACCATAGGCAGTAAAAAATGATTCATTGTATATAGGTGAGCTCTAATTTTAATGCTCAGTAATTTTGTTACTTTGGAAAAATTACTTAACCTTGTGCAACTTTGGTTTCTTCCTTATTTTAGGGAAGGGATTTGTAGGATATTTTTTGGGCAGAAGACGTTGTATACACCTCAAATTTCATTCACTAGGAAAATAAATTCTTATTTTGTTTGAGATTGACATGTAACTGGCGTAACTATATAGCTTCAGAATGCTGGCACGCTGTAATGATTATTTCAATGGGTTATTTGGGAGTAGCTGGGGTCATAGTCTTTATAGCCAACAGTGCGAGGTCCTGTTTTCTGTATTATCTCATTTATTCCTTTCAGCTTTTCTGTGAGGTATATGCTCTTCTGATAGCCCCTTTGTGAGTAAAATGGTTGTGCAAAAAGTTAAGAAATTCGCCTGGGGTTTCTGGGCTGTTAGTGCCAGAGCCAAGGACTAAAAACCCAGGTGTTGTGGCTCCAGAAACCATGCTCCTGGCTTTGGTCCTCTGCAGCCTTTTCCAAAACTGCAACATCTTCACACTGAACGGGCAAATGTCTGGTAGACTCTTCTACTTAAGATTTTTTTCCTTTCCTGTTTCAGGTATCTGACAGCAAGCAGCAATAGAAATTTCCTGCTTACCATGAGACCATTTTTAAAAAGAGCCGTTTTGGTCATAAGTTATGTAAGTATATATATATGTACTTTTGAAATACCTTATAGGGAATATTTTCCTTTTCATTTGGTTCAGAGACATGATGGAGATTATGTCATAGAATTAGCAATAGACGCTGACAACGTGGCCTTAGCATCAAAGAGTTTATATGCCATAAATGTTACAAAGCATGGAAAGGAGTACAGGAAAGCGTCTAGGTACACGTGAACTTGATGACACAGATGACGTGAGCTATACTATTCCGCAAGTCCTTTCAAGGTGCTGAGGATGAGTCGTCTCAAGAGGAGGCAGCACAAACCTGGCTCTTACCAGTTGACTATTGCCGCATAACAAAATACCCCACAATTTAGTGATGTAACTACAACAGCCACATACTTGATCTGCCTTTAGTTTGGGCAGCTGGATGGTTCTTCTGATCATCATGATTTTTGGCTGAGGTTATTCAGTCAGGTTTATTCAGCTGTCACTTGAGCTCGGTCACCTCAGTTCTCTTCCACAAGGTCTCTCCGCCATGTGGTGGGACATCTCCATATGGCTTCCCTCTCTCAGGCAGTCAGGACTCCTTACAATGCACCAGCTGGGTCTGACGGCAGCCCGAAAGTTGGAGGACCTCCCAGGGATTGGGCCCTGAACTGACACAATGTACCTCCCACCACCTTCTTTTGACCAATATGCACACCAGTCTCAAGACTAACCCGGATTTTAGGGGAGGGGCAATGGATTCCATTTTTTGGTAGGAGGAACAGAATGCAGGTACCATGAGAGTAAAGATCATGGGCGGACATCTCACCAGATTTTCTTATTCTCTGAAGGTGACTGTTGTTTTGTACTTCCGTCTGTGGATAATGGGAGGATCTATGCCCCTCTTTTCAGAGCAAGATAATCCAGCTTCATTTTCGCCTTACATTCTCACAAGGTCAGTAGAAAATAACTTTTATAAACTTCGCATCGTATCTATTAGATAACTTTAACTGAGCTTAAATCATAGGCTGACTTCGCATTGAGGAAAGAAAGATTGTCCTCTATCCAGCATGCAAAGAGAAATGAAACTACTATTCATACATTTGAAATTCTTTGGAATGATGAGGCTGTTTGGGTAATATTAATGCTGTTATTCTCATGTGGTATTTATATGTTTATTCAACAAATATCTGGGGCACTGTCTTAGTTCATTTTGTGTTACTCTAGAGCAGTGTTTTTCAACTTTTTTTTATCCTAGCACACTTAAATTATGTTGATCAAAACAGAGTTAAAAAAAAAAAGGAGTATACTTATTGTGCTTTGAACTTCTTTCATAAATAATTTAATTAATGATCTTTAAGATCTTCTCCTGGCACACTGGTTGAAAATCAACTGCTCTGAAGAAATACCTGAGACTGGATAATTTACAAAAGAAAAAAGGTTTATTTGGCTTATTATTCTGCTGGCTAGAAGACTGGGCTTCTGGGGAGGGCCTCAGGCTGCTTACTCTTGGAGGAAGGCCAGGGCATGTGCACAGGTCACATTGTGAGAGAAGAGGAGAGAGAGGGGCGAGTGCCAGGCTCTAGTGGAAACTATTCTAGAGTGAAAACTCACTCACTTTAGAGGAAGGGCACTCAGGTATTCATGAGGGATCTGCCTTCATGACCCAAACATCTCCCTCTAGGCCCCGCCTCCTAATAGCACCACATTGGAGAATAAATTTTAATAGGCCATTTGGTGTGGGCAAACAAACTGTAATAAGTATTGAGTGGTCTATGTGGCAAATAGTATAGAACAATGTGCAGAGAGGTGTGTAGATGTTGATTAGACATCATAACCTTTTGTAAGATTAAAATCAGTGGGGCAGTTTAATGTAGCAGAAAGAAATGAACACTGGATTTTGCTCATATACAGCTAATTATGTCTTACTATTGTTTCTAAGAGTTCTGGAGGGTATTGGATCAAGAACTAATGGAGATCAGTGCATCTGATTCATTGATCAGATTTCTGATTTCTTATCTGTTCAGTCTGCTATGATGTACATTTGGGTACAGGAGACAGTATATTTGACAATTTTAATAATTTTTCTTTAGAATATATGGTAGCTATAATACTTTAAGAATTAAGATAGACTGTTTTAGGCTCGGCACCCATCACACAGTGGTTACAGCGCCAGCCACGTACAACGAGGCTGGCAGATTCAAACCTGGCCCAGGCCATCAAGACAACAATGACAACTGCAACCAAAAAATAGCTGGGCATTGTTGTGGTAGATGCCTGTAGTCCCAGCTACTTGGGAGGCTGAGGCAAAGAGAATTGCTTAAGCCCAAGAGTTGGAGGTTGCTGTGAGCTGTGATGCCATAGGACTCTACCCAGGGTAACATAGTGAGACTCTGTCTTAAAAAAAATAAATAAATAAAAAAGACTTTTTAAATTTTCATAGTTTTACGTACTGCTTAATGTTATCTGATATCATTTTCATGATAGTAACCTTTGCCTTCTCTAACAACTTTTCTTCACATATTGTAGCTATAAAATTTTAAGAATTAAGGTACACGGTTCTTAAGACTTTTCATAGTTTTATGTACCTCTTAATGTTACCTAATATCATTTTCATGATAGTAAACTTTGCATTTTTTTTTGTATTTACAACAATATAATAAATCTTAAATTAAACCTTGCTCTATAGTGTATTTACATTTTGGTTGACTTGTATCTCTTAGGGATAACGGATTGTTGGATTTTCTTGTCATAGCTGGCAGTGATCTTGGCTTTCTGTCATTCATTTAGCTTCTATCTTATTTCTTTGCCTTGTATTCTTTGTTTGTTTCTAGTCTTTTCTTCTTTGTCTGTAGGCTTTTGATTTCCTATTTAAAAAGAAAACCTTCTGATTGGATTCACACGTTTTTATAATAAAACTATGTTCATAATTGTTTTCGTTACTTCTAACACATATTTGTATTGAACCCATCTCGAGTACGCTTTCAGAAATAATGCAATATCCAAACTCTAGCGCTGGCTTACTCCTTCTGGGCAGTTCAGAGCCTTTATAAATGATTGTTTATATCTTATATTCTCCAATTGTTGTATAATAAATATTTTAATTAAGCTTGACATCTCTGACCCAGCTTTTTATTAATGTTGCAATCTACTTGCCCATTTTAGATATCACTCCGTGGCTTTCAAAATCTCCAGAGTTCCTTGTCTAGATATTTTTAGCTATGGCAGTTAATAAATTATTTCATGTTCTGTAACTCCTTAAGTAGCTACTTCTGCCTCTGAGAGAAAAAAAAAAAACAACTTTGACAAATCATATTCTTGTCTGATGGCTCCATCGGCTTTAGCTTGGGGTTGGTTTTGCTCCTCAGCTCCCTGTCTCCTGAATTTGAGCCTTCATTCGAACTGTTACAGTTAGATGCAGCCCATTCCCTGAGATTACCAGTCTTCAAAGGCCAAAAAGCTCAGAAGAGAAAGACAGAGGACAGCAGGAACACACTGCTGTCAACTTACCAACCAATTTTTCATTCATATCTCATGTCATAAGTAAACAAGTGCCTGTCCGAAGATCCTTGGCGTTAGGACAAGATGCCTTTGATATCTGACTCACACCCTCCTAGCTATAACATCTTAGTTGCCAGGGGTGTTAGATTGCATTTCCCTGCTGGTGGCCAAAAAATTTCTTTGTGGAACCCTTGGCAAAATTAGTACCTCAAACTAGCTGTTTCCCAGGTTCTGCTTTTCACTTCTAAGACATATATATGTCTATCTATCTGTGTGTATACACACACACACACACACACACACACACAGTTTTTCTTTTTCACCCCAGAGGATTCTGGTCCATAGTTTGTCCAGGACTTTCTGTCTGTGAATCAATTCATCCAAGAGACTATAACTCAGGTAACTCAATTAATAAAAAGTGATGGAGCAGAATCTCCTAATACTCAGACTTTTATATTCTTCCTCTCTTTTCTTTTAAAACATCCTTCTGTTCTTGGGTCTCAAACTTAAAATGGGTAGCTACCCAGGGACGTCTCCGTGACAGCTGTTATGAATGCCTTTCACAATCCTCCAAGGTAGCTCCATTAGAATGGACTCCTCTGAGAACCCAGAAAATGGTTTTTAATTCTTTTCCTGAGTACGGTTTCTGTTCTCTTTGTGTGGTTCTTTGACCTCTGGTGGGCCACTGATTCTTGAAGTGGATTGCCCGAGTCTACCTCCTAGTTCCGTGGTTTTTCTTTCCTTCCCAGCTGTGCAGTGGAGCTGCGATTCCTCTGGCTTTGTGACCCTGTTGTTACTCATCCCGGGCTTGTCATTTGGCCGGGTCTGTCCATTTCCTGATGCTCCCCTTCCTTCACTGGGTTTACAGATTTGGCACATCTCTCAGTAGCAGCTTTGCTCCTGTCTTTTGAGTATTATTTCTTCTTCTTTTACAGTAGGCATGATAAATTACTCTCTGACCAGGTGAGGTTTCCAGACAACCTTTCTTTCTGCTTAGTTGTTGTAGTTTAAAATTCCATGTAATTTCACAAAACTCCTCATAGCTCTCAGGAGTATCTTGCTTAAGCTTTCTTTTGTTTAACGTGATTTTTTGTGATTTTAGTTGTGAGATTCCCCCTCCTTTAAATGATTTATTTCAGTGTATTTAGCTCAGAAGAAACCCCCTGTTATTTTCTGCTTAACTAAACTGAGACACAAAGTCATTGTGTTATGCTCATGAAAAATCTTTGTTAAGCTAAATTTCTGAGACATGAGAACAAGAAGCAACGACTGTGTGACCTTCACTGACTGTAATGTAGAACGTCGTCTGGCAAACCTAGGGGAATACAACACTGGTAGGTTTATTATTTGCTCTTTACTGTATTTTACAACTCTGTCAGCTTAGAATGTAACATACCAGAACCCGATAGTTATGATAGTTTCTTTTCTCTCTTGTAGGAAAATTAAACTTCGAACATAACACTTTTATGGCCTTCCAGCGCATTGAGTAAAGTGTGAATCTCATTTGCCAAGCTCATCCCTTTTTGTCTTTTCATGCACTATGAAAATTAGAGTTTTTGAATTCAGTTTATATATTATGTATATATTATTTTATAT